GTCCCAGTATCCAAAAACCTGTAACAGAAAAACATACTGTACCACCACCTCAGTGAGACTATTCATGACAGTAAGCAACAGGGCCACAATGCAGAAGGATTCACATATTTAATATAGCTATCTTCATTTTATTATGATACCCGAAGCCAAAACTCTCTGCAGCAGCAGTGGATGTGGCAGTGCATTAAGACTGGAAGGGCGGATTATTTTAACGCATGATGAACAGGACTAGGAAACTGATCTAGTTTTAATAACTGTGCTACAGAAAAGGAAGTGATTTTAACCCTGATCTTTGTGAGTCAATGTGTTAAAAGGATCGCACCGGTAGAGCTGACAGAGCAGCAAAGTAGCACAAAGACCCAAAAGCAGAAGCAGAGTGCAGAAATAAGCAGGCAGAGCACAGAAACATTCCACTAAGGGATGTACTTGAACCTCCTGAAGAAGGCTCTAATCCCCACAGCCTCTGAAAGCAGTGAAGAACTTCACTTTTTGGTAGTTAACAAATACTGGAGCACCCCAATAGCAGCCTCTGTCCTACTAGGTACAAATGGGTTTCAATATGATCAGCTCTACAGATGAGAGATGCTTGCTGATTAGTTCATTCATTCAAATTAGTTCCTTCAGAGACCAAATTTGGTTTCTCTTGATAGATAAGTGACAATCATCAGCTGAAACAAATAAAGCTGAAAGCAGAGTAAATTCTAGATAAAGTAGTCTTGCTTTACATGGACAGTAAAGATTCACAACACATACTCATGCCATCAGCGACTTCATCATAGGGAAACCATCTATTAAAATACAACTGCAAGGAGTAGTTCCTTCAGAGACCAAATTTGGTTTCTCTTGATAGATAAGTGACAATCATCAGCTGAAACAAATAAAGCTGAAAGCAGAGTAAATTCTAGATAAAGTAGTCTTGCTTTACATGGACAGTAAAGATTCACAACACATACCCATGCCATCAGCGACTTCATCATAGGGAAACCATCTATTAAAATACAACTGCAAGTAAAAGGAATATCATTGTGTTAGGAACAGGGAGATTTCCATGGAAAGAGTAAAAGCTGAATCATCTACTGAAATTGAAGGAACAGGAAGATTTCCATGGAAAGAGTAAAAGCTGAATCATCTACTGAAATTGAAGAAAAATTACAACATCTTGATACTTAGAAAGGTTCCTGAAGACAGATCAAAATAAAATCTGTTGAAACTAAAACCAGTTGATCAGAAGCTTTAAAATACATCAACTTCACTTGACACTCAAGTTACAGACACAGCCAAAACTGGGTAAAAGTGAGCAAAATTAGTTGGAAAGAGTATCCAGACTTGCGTATAATGAGTACAAAATATTTTCCAGGAAACCAGGGAGACAAGCTTTAACAAGTTTGCAATTGGCTAGCATGAGTGAACTGAATCAAAAGAACTCAAGCCAAGGGGTGTGGAAATCTAGAAAAGAAACTTAAGACATTAGCTACTGCGAAAGCCAACTAGTGGGATCGGTCAGAACTTGAGCAAAACTGGACACCTGCAGCACAACAGAGTAGAAAAGCGCTGTCAGAGGACTAAGCCAAGAGATTTCACAAGAACTGCCTGCTCAGTGGTCTCCAACAGGTACGCAATGCTGTATCTTCCAGTGTAACAGCTAGAAGTCAGATGTTTGAGTGACAGCTTCTAGCACAGTAGTATGCTAGGCATGAAATCAGGGAATCGAAACCAAGATCTCTCATCTACCTCATACTAAGTATTAGAGCAAGGGAGGACAAGGTGCTGCGGTTAAGTGCCACAACAAGAACGGTGGTCACTACTAAAGTGCATACTTTGTTAGGTGATGTATTAGTCAAGTGCAGGCATATAGTTTTCCCAGATCAAATAAGCTCCCTTTTCATTTTGATTATGAGATCATACCAGAACAATTATTCAGTATCAGCACAGTACCAGTAACCTAAACATGAACTTGGCAAATTAAGTATGAAACTATTAGATACTGACTTCACTGGCATAAACAGATTTTCTACAGACTGCTTACTGCCTTCTCCTGTAGCTAGGGGACACCACACTGATTTGGAAAATCCTGGTTATTTCAAGGTAACAACCAGAATTTCAGTATCTGAAGGGTTGCCAAATTTATATTTGTCAGTATTGATAATACAATAAATTTCAACCCTCGCCTGATTTTAGTGCATTTCTCTCCTATGTGTAACGACCTCCCCACGTCCCACCCCACAGCTCACCACTTTTGTGGTCAGACACAGATTTACCAGGAAAGAAGAAAAGACCTCTGAAGGCCACTGCATCCCTCTACCTCTTCCCAATGACCACCCCCAAAACGCTACAGCTCTAGCTCATCCAGAGGGCCACCAAGACGGAGCTCGCACCGCTGTACTTGCTGGTTCCAACCACCCGAGTGTGCTGCCAAGGTACTGCAAGCCCAGTGCAGCTCCTGCTGCTGCCTTTCTCCTCCCCTAGATGTAGTGTTGGGGGAAAAACCTCCAGGGAAAAAGTTAAGACCTTGTTAGCACTTACTCATAGAATATATATTCCAGAGTAACACCGGTCTGTAGCACATTACTGAAAAGAGCGCTGGTTTAGGATACACCTATCCCAAGCATGCTCAACTTAAAGCAAGCAGAAATAATGAAACTCAGCATCAAATAAAATATCAGTTTTGTTTTTCAGCACTTACTAACACCTAAAAAATAAAAGCCATTTTCCTAACTGTAAGTCTGCTTAAGTTTCTCTTTGAAGTCCTTCTACCTCTCATTGCTTATCTGCTTTGATATAACGCACACTGCTTCATCAGAGCACCTCCAGATCACAGTTGTTTCAGTTTAGGTTTCCAATCTGAGGGGAAGAACTTGCACCCTGTTCATTTATGAAACAGTGCATAATTTATTCAGTGTCTTAGTGAGGGCTTCGTTCACAGATTAATTCCCTCATTAGTATTCCCTGAGCACACTAAATCCTTTCAGCACTTGTGTATGTGCATGCACCAAAACTGAGAAACTGTACGCTTATATCACCTTTTTAATTTCAACTCATTTTCCTTTCTTGCTTTCAGCTGATCTACTGACTTCTCTCATTCTCAAGTACTATTCACTTGCAAATATTGTATAGGAATTAATTTAACACTGTAGTTCAACTACAGTAAAATTTTTCTACTTCTGCATTCCATTCGACACTGAGTTTCTAGGTGTACTTAGAAGGGAACAACAAAAATAAAGATGCAGACAGACTGGAGAGGGTCCAAAGGAGTGCCACAAGATGATCAAAGGGCTGGAGAGCCCTGCCCTACAAGGAAAGACTGAAGGAGTCAGGTCTTTTCTTCCTGGATAAGGCTCAGGGGGACCTCAGCACAGTATTCTGGTACCTAAAGGGCAGCTACAAAGAGGATGGAGGCTCTCTCTTTAGAAGAGCCATGTGGAGAGAACAAGGGGCAACAGGTACAAGTTGCACCAGAACACATCTTGATATAAGACTCTTTTTACAGTCAGGACAATAATTTACTAGAACAACATCCCCAGGGACATAGTATAGTCCTCATCACTAGAGGTTTCAAGATGTGATTGGACAGGGTGCTATATAATCTCATTTAGGCTCCCTTTCCCACGAAAGGTTGGACCAGATGATTTTTCAAGGCCCTTTCCAGCCTGGGCTACTCTATGATTTGATGATTCTGAGCCCAAGAACAGCTCATTCTCATTCCTGTAGCAGTGTCTCTCACAAAACCTACCTCCCTTGTTTTCTGCCAGTTTTATTGCAGTAGGATTATTTCAACTTTTCAGCATAATCTGAAAATTAGTTTCCTAATACCAACATCTACAGAAGATACAACAGCTCTGGTTATTTTCCCATATCGTTATCACTCACAGTTTGATATAACCATTAGGAGAACCCATTATAAGTATCATCTCTTCCTGCAGTGCTTATACCTGCTTTTTCCTGCCCACTCCTTAAGAAGCTTCCTATTTTACTGAAGTCTACTTGATAGTTTATAATACAGGGATTTCAGTCTTGTCAAATTTCATTTGATAGCTAGAAGTTATGGATATACAGATCCACTGTAAAGAGTTATTTTCTTAAAAAAGAAAAAATGTAACTGTCTTAAATCACGTTGCTGGTATCTCAGTGAACTCTATCCTCCATTTCTCAGCTCAAAAATAAAATTCTCATCACCAGCAAGGCCTGAAGCAATTGCCATATCCTGTTATGCATAATATGGCCACTAAATAGTTCAAATGCCAACAGATGAAACAGTAAGCAAAGCTCCGTCCACCACAAGCAGTATCATTAGTTCACTGGTCAGTGCTCTGACACCTCACCAGAGATTGCAATAACCCCGGCCAACCTCCACGTGCAGGAAGTATGTTATCAAGATTTGAGTGGTCTTCAAGAACAATGGACAGAAGTGAAACTTCCCAAACTTTAAGTCTGAAGATACTGACTGCCCCTGCCTTCTTTTCTGTACATCAAGAGGTAGACACTATAGACCTCGGGCTATTGCAATTAAGCCGCTCAAATTTACCTTCCAACATCAAGATTGCAGGCTTTGGTGTACCCCCTTTGACATAAACTACAGGAAATAATCATTCAAGTTTACAGCCTTGCTAACATATAGGGATACTTCACAACAAGTCTAAATATTTCTTCCTCTCAGCAAGGATCTCTTATGCTCCTCCTGTTGTTTACACCCCAAAAATGGGTTATAGATGAAAGTAGATAAACATCAGAAATATCAAGACCAGTTATACATATTTGACATAAATAGCATCCTTCAGTAATGACGTACAATACAGTTAAAAGTTCTCACAAGGCATTTCTTCTATCCCTAGAAAACACAGATGCATTATCTATAACTTAGAGATGGAAAATACACTCCTTTTCTTGAAGGAATTGTCACCCACTGATAGCAAGACTCAACAGGCATACTTACACTGCAAAATAGCTAAAAAAAATTGTTCTAATAAGATTATATATTCTACAGCAAGGACAGGATTACATACCTTGTGCAAGCATGTTAAACTCCAAGAACAGTGCTATGTGATAAAGCTCCATAGCTTCTTCAGCCCTAGTCATGTTTAGTTTTCCTGCTACAAGAGCCTGAACTTCACTTAAACTGCCCACCGAAGGGCTGGAGTGCAAAACTGAGAGGTCCACCACATCTGTATACATACAGTTCAAAATGACCTTAGCATATTTTTTTGGTATGATAGATTCATCCAATATAATTCTAGTTGGAGTTCGTAGAGTTCGGTCTGTGATTTCTTCACCAGTTCGTATCCTCCTCTGCAGCAAGTGACGAAAAAATGGAGATCGTGACGAAATAATAGCTTTGTGAGCTCTGAGCTCTTCATCTAGACAGTTCTGACTTCCACCAAAAGTTTCAACCAAGTCAGAGTTGGATGAAAAGCTAAGAACCACATCGTAGTAGCACATGTAATCAAACAGTGCACGCATATCAACATCTAAGGAATTTGGTGTTCCAAATTCTTCACTAAGCTGCACAAGGATGTCAACGTTTTGGAATCTTGAATCCTCCATTCCAAACTCGCCTGTATAAAGGTAGTGTAACAAAGCAGAAAACATAGGCATATCTATGCCAGCTGTGTTAATATCCATTATTATTTCTGCCCCATACTCCGGTGAGGAAGAAAGCAGCGTCTTAAAAAAAGGACATCTTGCCGCCAATATCGCACGATGCACAGGAAAACAAGTTTCTTGAAATATTAAGTCTACATCGGTACAATATTTGTACTGATAAAGTTCAGCCATGTCTTTTTGTAGCGTCTTCGCTTCTGGTCTTGCCAAATTAGCTTGTAGATAAAGTTCCTTTAAGGCTGACGTCCCTTCATATTCTTCTACTAACGCATTAACATCTCTGACATCCCAGCCTGAGAGGAGTTCACGCATCTGCTTGGCATGATCAGCAGATCGGCTAGATTTCCGACGCTTAATAAATTTCTTTTTGAGGGTGGCAAGGCCAGAGGTTTTCTTTTTCTTGTCTTGAGGTTTCTCATGGCCATGGTCAAGGCTATACAGCTTTGATTCGCAGCCATAACCTTGATGAGAATAGGATGACGTCCCTGAAGGCAAAAAGGAAAGTTGAACACATTTATTCTTTAAATTTAAAAGAAAGGTCCATAACACCTAAACATCCATCAATGTCTCTGCAAGTTACACAGTCTTTCCTTCTCCTCAGATCAGATAATTCAACAAGTTGGAAACATGACTGAAGCCTTTTCTGGCCATTAAGAACAGAAATAGGTTTTTTTGCATCCACGAAGTTTGTACTTTTTTTTTTTTTTTTTCAAAAAAAAAAAAAAAAAAAAAACTAAATTTCAAGAGCCAAGCAGTGCTAGTTGACATAGCTCTGTAGCACATGGCACACCTATCCAAGCAGGAAGAGAACATTATGGTCATACAGTTAAAAGTGTTATTAAATAAAGGAAGTGAAAAATACAGCCTTTTTAAAAATTTGAATGACCTCAGTGAAATAGTAGCACCTCCCTCTTCCCCCTTCAAAGTGTTTTTCAAATTCTGTTCTTCTAGCATTAAGTGTCGTTTCAACAAGAAAAGCATACCTGGCATCAGATAGTCATTCTAGTCACAAGAAAAAAAGGAAAAAAAAAAAAAAAAGAGCATTGTACCAAAACATTCTGGGAAATTGAGGACAATGAATTAATTTTCAATGCAAATTTAACAAGAAAATAAGAATTCTGTCATATGATAATCAAGTAATGCCAAAAGTCAAATACATAAAATGGGCTCCTTTTCACAGAACCATAGATGCTAATTTGTGTGTACACCCTATTTAAAAGAATATGGAAAATGTAAGTTTTACTGTATTATTAAAGATGTCCTTTGAACAGAGCTTTATACAATTAAAGTATAAATACAATTATTCTTCCCCTAAAAAATAATTTATAGGGAAGTTAGACTATGAACCAAACATGTCATGAAATGACAAATGGATTTAATATTATCTGTATTACATACCTGACCTGTTCTACTAAGTGAACCTTTGCTCAGTTTGAGTCTAGCTGTATATACAGTAACACTGATAGCAATTTAGTAAGAAAAAGAGGAATTAGAAACTGCATTTCTAGAAGTAATGGAAAACTGAAGTCATGTTTTAGTAAAAAAATAATTAAAAACTATAGTTTAAACAGAAGTATGACTCTCACATTAAAGGGTTATTTTCTAATTAAACTTAATTTACAGAATTTTCACCCTAAGCCAGATGGTGAAAAACCTCAGATGTGACAGAAAAGAAAAAAAAAACCAAACAAAAAAACCCCACCAAACCCAACTACTACTTCGAGACAAAAGAAGTAATCAGAAGAAAACATTTGCAAGTGGTATACAGATTAGCAACAACTGCAGGTTAATCTGAAATAGTATTTGTCCATTTTCTGTCGGGAATAGTTAACACGTTTCCATTAGTACCCTTACGTAGCTTCATGACTTGTTGCCTTTTTGGATCTCTAAGTTCAAAGCACATCCAACCACCAGAGGTTTTAGGGCCTTTTGTAACTTGTTCTATCATCGTACTCTCACAGTTCCATTTGTTTCGGGTAGATTTGATGTGATGCTATTTTGCTATGCTATTTTGACAGTGATGTTATGTCTGTCAAAACACAGTGCTTTTAGTTACTATGTTATTTCAGGTAAGTATTTCTTGATCTTTGAAAGACACAGGAGCAATTCAAAGTTTTAGTTGAGAGCACAGCAACTGCAGCAATCTAAGATTCCCGTAAATTGTTTTATTATTTAAACCTTGATAATTCTAAGCAACCTTATATGCTAGCTTTTATGCCAAGCTAATTAAAACTCTCTCAAATCACGCAACACAATGATTTTATGATTCATCTATTAGTGAAAACTTTAGGAAGGAACTTTGCTTTCTTTGAGAAACCATTTTATCCATGCTACCTTAAATTTTGCTTGACCAGGCAACACGTTATTAATCATATGGAACTTTCAAGACATTAAAAAAATATCAATTTAAACGAAGAGAACGGCAGTAACTCAAGACAACTTCAACAAAGCAGTAGTGCTGCAAAACCCACCATAAAGTCCTTCCACATGCTATACTCAGTATTACAATATAAAAGTAGAGATACAGTCCCCTGCTGATAGAGACAAGCCTAGAATTTCCACTCCATTTAAAGAGTATCGATTACATTTCACAATAAAAGTATAACTACACTTTGGCTACTCTATAATGATAGATTCTGCTCCAAGACAACACGCCAGCTCATTTCTATTCGAAGAATTTTGGATTCTAATGGCAAATTTGAGTATGCAGAATATTCTCTTACATTCCGCTAAAGAAAAACTAGGGCACCAGAAGTCTCAATTTCTTTCTTCCCTGAAGGCTGCTGTGAGGCATTACTTGCACATGAATCACCATGAGATACTAAAACACCATTCAAACCTTTGTGTACCCTGAGCTACTTATAAGATTTAACTTCAGAAGTATTGCAAACAGTGCTATTAACCCTTACAAATAGATAAAACACTGCTATAAAAGTGCCACCACAAAACTGCTTTTTGCCAGAGGCAGAAGTAGAGATGCATCAGCACAGCCTCTCTGGGTTCACAACAGCTGGTTGCTCCAGATCCCTCAAAGAAAGAATTTTAAGAGCCCCTTTTTGACATGCCTGTATTCCTTCATAAGGCGGCAGCAGCACTGGAAATACGAAACAGAAATTTATTCCCCTCTTCTACACTAAAAGGCACCAATCTATTAAATGCTGTTAAAAAGTGATAGCTGCTTCATGCCCCTAGACCATATCTAGCTTTGAACAGATAAATATTTACAAGAAACAGATGACTGCCAAGAGAAACTACTCGGGCACTTGACAATGAATAATGGGATCTGCCTAGTCCTCTGCATGCCTACACATTTTAAAATCTAATTATAGAGCTCTATTTAAAAATAAACATCTTGAACAGATGTACCACCCTAGAAAATGGTGTGAAATCCTCCTCCTGAATACTGTAGACAAAACAACAAGGAGATGACTAGTTAAGCCTTTGCTAAAACAAAAGGATTTTTTACAGTAAGAGGACTGCATTATTTTTACTGATTTATCTCCTCTTCATAAACTGTAAGCAAATTCAGCATGAAGTCAACTAACAGTGGGAGCTCATCCTGTGAAACTACTGTGCTTTGCCAGATCAGTTCTCAGCTTTTAATATTCATCCTACAATTATAATGCAACACGGTGCAGCGCTTTAATAGTAAAGCAGCACGTCTGAATCCAGTTTCCAGGAATAAGGCAACTAATACACATTATACAGCTATTATAACTCTAGTAGCCGTATTTCAAGTCCTACTTTGGGGCAGTGAATAGATCTAATGCCTTCTACATTAAAAAACAAAATCTGTAAAAGTTGATTTACCATTAAAACATCATTATTCTGACAAGTGATGAAAGTCTCAGCTATCCATTTTAGGACACATTCATTTTCTACTGAGACAGCTACACAAACCAATCATCCGAAGAACAGTCAAGATGAGAAAACCCAAACCCCAATGTGGGAAGAAGAGATGTATGCCTGTGCTGTAGATAACACACCTCCTCTACTAGCACACTCATGTAAGTGTCACCATAATATCAGAAGCATTCAACAGGAATTTTAACCAGAACACTCATTTGCCTTGCCTAAGATGAGATAGCCACATGCTTTTAGACATTCCTCAAAAAAAATCTCAACCACAATTTTCAACAGGTAATGGGGATCAGTAAATTTATAGTGACATACTACGTAACGGGCTTCTATTTTAAAATTAATAATGAAAAGCATCAACAAAACCTTCCACATACCAAGTGGAAAGTTTCTGGGACATTTGGAACTCTCCCTTGTTCAAATTGGTTCAAAAGGTGTTTCAGCATGCAGATCTACCTGTTTTCAGGTCTGTAATTGTTTCTCTTCATTCAATACAGAGGCAGATAAACACAAAGACGTGTAATAAAAAACATTTTGGCTGCGATATTAGAAAGTATATATATATTTATAAAAATATATATATAAACAAACCGGGGCAAATCTTTTACTACCGTTAGTTATGATACACTGAAAATACATAAAAGCCTTAAGGGGGACTTTACAGCATGGATACCCAAAACATTAGTGCTAAAAGCTCTTCCCCGACATGCTACAACAGCACACACAGAATTTTTAGCCCAGAGCACAGATCTTTACAGGTACAGTTTGTGGGCTGTCCTCTATTCGGATCTCCAAAAGTTAGGAGTCTCACAAAAGACAAAAGAGGAAAAATTACAAAGCAAGTCATTTTTCCCCTACTAAGGATATCACTGTGCTTTCAGTGTGATTAAGAAAAAAAGTAACACTGAATATCAATAACTACTTATTCAGTGTTGCAAGCCAAGCCATAAAGGAGAAAAGTGTTTATAAAGTATTTATGCTATTTACTGCTAAGATCATTCTTCAGGCTGTCAGGGCTGGATTTTTTTAAGCAAGATTTCTCTTTTCAAAAACAGCCTTCTTTTAGATTCATCAGATTCATCACATAACTATTTATTATTTATAGTATGACAGTACTTAGAACTTCACTGAGGTCTTTTTTGCACCAGACTGAAAAGTACATAAAGGTAATACCTGCCCCAGTTATGAGTGTTGTAAGATAATAATTTCTTAAGAGCACTTCAACTCACATTTCCAGTTAAGCAAGGTCCTTGCTTGTAAATAATACTGTTAGTAGAGTAAGTACCCCCATTCCCCATTTACAGGAACAGGAAAAGGACAGGAAAAAAGTTGTCTTCAAGACTGCTTGTTAGTTTAACAGGCTTATTATCAGGTATTCCTTCTAGCAATAAGGAAGTAATTCACTCAGACACAATGCCAGTACTACAACGAATACTGATGATCAAGAGTTTTACATGCTCTAACAGTTTCGCGGAAAATCTGAGGAAGAAAAGTAGAAAATGGTAGATAGTCTGTACAGATAGCAACTGCTCTTGAACTAGGAAAAGTAGCATGCATGGTTTAATTATCAAAAGCATTCCACTTTGTTTTATTTAAATAACCTGGCATCTGTTTACTAGCAAGTGGCAGATCAACTCATTGCATACATAGGCCAAATGGATACTGGACAGTACCAAATTTCGTGCACGACTGAGCTTGAATGGATTCAAACTGGTGACCTAGAAAATAAAGCTCTGCATAACATTACTGCAAGCAAATCAAATCCAGTGCATACACACTCCAGCAAGTCATTTATGTAAGTGACAAGATAACTGAAAAGAGTTACCTATAAATGTCTGTTGTGCCTGTGAATTTCCCCCTACCCTTGGGGAACACGAGTGAGGGTAGTTAGATGCATTAGCACCCATTTTCTTCAGTCACTCAGGCATTCCGCCTGCTGGCTCTTCAATGTATAATCCCATAATCCTTTATAAATCTTCAATCCCAGTCCAGCATTCTGTTCCTCCATTTCTGAAGAACAAAAACACCAATAAGTTACTCCATTTTTTTTAGCAGATATTATGTGATTTAGACAAAATAAACTCAGCCTCCAGCACATAACATTTTCATAAATTAAAACATCAAACATTTCCAAGATAGCTTTTTATTTGAAGGATTAAACCAAGATCAAACACACTTTTTTCCCCCAAAATAATTTGTACTTTTCCAAAACATTCACAAATCGGTACGATAAACTGCAACTAGCAACAGGGTAGCTATCAAAGTTTTAGCTAAGAAATCTTTAAGTAGCAGTTGGGCCTAGACTAGATATGCTCCTTTAACCATCCCAAGAAGACTTTTCATACATGCTGATATGTTTACACATTGTTAGAAAAATCCCAAATCCAATTATACTGATTGAGAAAGCAGAAAAAGCCAATCCTGTTGGAGGTTATACCATCATCAGTGCTTTCAGCTGCATTTTGATTTCACACCATTCATGTAGTTCTTATTCAGTCCTACTTTTCAAGTTTAGACTAGTACCTTGAAGTAGGTTTATAATAGTAAAAATAAGGTGTTTAAGCATTCATCTACTGTTTTATTAAGCATTTGAAAACATTTTAGGAAGTCAGTTCTGAGGAAATTTGAACAAGGATTCATTGCTAAACACAGAACAAGCACATTCTAATTTATTCCTATATGAGCAGTGTTAAAATATTAATACTGCAAAATTAAAGTTACCACAATGAAGAGCGGCTTACTGTCAACTGAACACATGTGCTCCCATCCAAAACAAACACAAAGGCACAGATAAGAAAGTGTGATACAAAGGTAAAGTCTATACTTAGAATTTTTTAGACTCCATTCAATATTGTGAGTATGTAGCTAAATTCTACTGTCTAGTCACAGGTGTACCTTTATCTGCTATAAGCTCCCATCTCCTTTCTCAGCACACCTCTGGCACGCTAAATCGGACAAGTGCGTGCCATGCAAGAGAGTGTTTCAAGGAAGCTGCAACACTGTTCTGGTCTCTAGTCCCCGCTTTAGTAATGTGTTTATTTCTGGCATGAGGAGTTCAGAAGTGGGAGTTACCATGACACTGGGGAGGTGAGAGATGATTCTAAGCAGAGAGGCACACCTGGCCTCTCAGTCACGAATGCAGTATGCAAAGCAGATCCTGGGGAGCAGAAAGTGAGAGACAGGCCAAGGAAGGAGAAGGCTGCAAATTGCTGTAGGCACAAGGGTAGGGGGGAACAAATGCCACAGGATTTGAGTGCTGGATACATCAGGAGGAAGAGTAGAAAAGAGTTTAGAAACCTGGCTTAGAGATGGTGGGTATGTGAAAAGGTGAGACACAGGCATGGGGCTGAAGCATTACGGAAGCATGAGAGGGTGCATAATTTCCAACCATCTGATGCTTTAGCACAAGGTTCCTAAAAATCAGGCCTTTTGGCATTTGTGGTCTATAACAACAGCTGTTTTCAAAAAGGAACCACACCACCTCGCGCTAGACACGATGTACAGGCAGAATCACTGCTCTAGAGAGTGCATAGCCCAGGTCTGCCTTGCACCGCTGCAGCCTGCTGATCGCTAGCTGAATTCCGCTAGGGCAGGAGACCCAACCACACCACCACAGCAGCTCTGCTGGAGTTACACAAGCCAACTTGAGCCCATCTACAGGCTTGCAAATGCAGAAGGGGGGAGCTCCCATGCCTGCCCTCCCTAGCTAGGTGGCAATCCCTCCTCAACTGCATATAACCCAATGCTTTTCTTGAACTTTTCTCTATGCAGATTCAGCTTGCCACACATCAGGAAACAGAAAAATAAAATACCTTGCTACATGAATAGTGAGCCTGCTCAGGATAAAGTCAGAACCAGAGTGCATGCAAAATGGGCAACATCACATCAGCAAACACCAGCTGTTGGATCAGTTCAGCCTTAGCCAATACATGTATTCATTTTCTTCCTTGTGCAGAAATAAGCTAGCTATTCAAAGATAACCAAATCCATGTGGATGCAGACCTCTTCTCCATATGTGAAAAGCTCCACTGATTTAAAAAAAAAAAACAACTTGGAAAATAATTTCATTAAAACAGTGACATTCCAAGTGATTTGTGTACCCACACAGAGTATGTTGCTTAAATGTGCCATCCATTTCCAGATGGAATTAGTTACATTCAGGACAAGCTTTGTGGAGGTAAGAGTCACCTTTCAGTTTGAATGCCAACTCTCTCACAAATAAAGGTCAGCATCCTGAGTAGATATCGCAACAACTTCCCTTTTCCCAGCTAAAATTGCACTTGGTTCATTTGGACAGAGTCCTGGAATAACACCACTGCATTCCACACTCTTCTGTGTTCAGCTGTGGCGTGATAACTTGTTTGTTAGATGCCTACTAATACTTTTCAGTTCTTATTGACACAGGAAAGAGCCCAGGAGCTAAGTAAAAGGGGGGGGAGGGGGGGAAGGCGGGTTTTTTTTTGCTAGCAAGCACTAAATACACATAACCAAGTCTCAGGTTTGAAGTTAATACCCTACACCTCCTTCCATGTAGCAACAAGCATGCACCAGAAGGAATATGATCAAGGACTATTTACCTGTTCAACACCATTAGCATTCAGTGCTTGAACCTGCAAAACAACAGGATTTAAGTTAACTGAAAAACGTAGATACTATTAAAAGTTCCTAAATTATCTGATATATAAAATAACTTTATTCAAAGGCTTACCACAAGAACACTGTTACACATTAAGCCCAAGTATTGTGCAGAATGAATTCACTCACTAAATTTAAAATATATAACTTAAATAATATAGGACAGTGTAAAAACAGTGTCATATTAAAGTTGTATACATAAATATATTCATTTATATAAGCTATATATGTATAGTATATAAATTTGTATCTTTATATAACTAAACCGAAACACGCCAGGTTTCAGCGAAGGAAGAGTAGGCACTGTGGTCAGCCATTTACAGATGCCAAAAATCCCTGTGCCTCCTTTCAAATTTATCCATGCACTGCTTAGCCATGTGTATGCTGGCTGACTTCTTAAGAGTATTTTGCATCTTGAGTTCAAACATGTTGCAGTTCATAACAAAGTGTATTGTGCCCCATGGCTCAAAATTGAGCATAGCTTTAGTCTCATTACTGTCCTTAATCTCATGTATCAACTGAAAGTACAATAACCCACATTGTATTTCCCAAACAATTTAAGCTGGCAGCAGTGATGAAATCTGTTCTGGAGGAAGCCCTGCCTTCCTCTCTCAAAATATTCCATGAATCAGATAGACTGACCCATGTTAAACCAACCTAGACAAAAAAATTTAAACAGTATCAGTTACCCAGTTGGTTTGTTATGGCATCACATGAATACTTGTGCCAGCACAGGTGGAAAAAGAAAGAAGACAATGGAAACAAGCTGTTAAAGCCAAGATTGCACCTTTTGACAGCAAGGTGTACTTGAACCACTCATGGATTTAGCTGCTTTTTTTGTTGTTGTTTGGTTTGTTATGTTTTGCTAGTGTCCACTTAAGCCTCTACACTAAACCTAGCCTGCCTGCACAGCAGTCAGTCTTGCATATAACCTGCTGAGTCCAGGACAAATGGAAATACATCTCGGTTACCACATAAAATGCCAAATCAAGAATGTTGTTTCCCATGGTAAAAGACATCTGTAGAAGGAGATGAATGTAGAAAATAAACAACCCCAAACCACAAACGATTAGATCTTTAGCTGGAAAAGGAAAGAAAGATTTTGTCTTTCCTTGCAGAAGTTATCCTGCATACCAAAAGCTTCCCTATTTTGGCTTAGCTGAAGAATTTTTTTAATCTAATCTTAGCCACGGTCATGGAAATTTTTGTTTGCTTTAAAAAACTACCATCAGGTGAACTTTTTTTTGCATTTCTGTTAAGAGTTTATATGCATCCACGTAAGCATTATCAAAAGGAAACTAAATTCAACATCTGCTGACCTACTGAAACAGGATCTCTTGTTGAGAGCAGTGACGCACACACAGATGTGCGTTATGTACGTTTACATGTACACAGGAAAAAAAAAGCTAAACTATGTTAAAGCTTGTTTAAAAAAAGCCTGCACTGCAGAAATAGCACATGAAGTGTGTTATATGAAACCAGGAAGCTTTAGAAGCCAAAATTACCATCCCAAACGCTACAAAAAGCACAGAAGTGACTTTCAGATTATACTGATACTCAGAACAGAATAAAATTTAAAATAAACACAAATCTAGTTAAAAGTTTTAGTACCTGAACTAAGTTCCTCTGTCTTCTCAATGCTTGTTACATTGAACCTAAAATCCCAAGAACCTAAAACGATTTGCATCTGAGGTGTCCGGGCTGACAGCCAGGACTTCCTGGATTGGGAATTTTGATTTAACAAAGAGTCTGCGTACAGAATGGACTTTGGGTAACAGTGACACTTTGTTTATAGTCATCACTCAATACAAAGGTTTCATAAATTTTTTTTATGTAGTCCACTGGGATCCAATTAATATAAAGGGCAAGGTAAGGAGCACTACAACATGTTTTGCAGCTAAAAAGCTAAAAGCATTTTAGTTTTTTCCCCTCTAAAACCTTAAAAGCTTTTTGTATTTCTTCTGGAGTAGTTGCCATAGGATTATGAAATAGCATAATACTAAAACCAAAGTAGGAAATCATATCGAGTACATGCACACACTTGTACCAACATGATTTTTAGGTTTTACATTTTACTTAACATATATTAGATTTACAAGTAAATGACAATGCAAGTATCAAAAGCATACCTTATTTATTTGCTTAGATTTTTATCTAGACCAAAAATGCTATGCTATTTTGCTCCAACAGTTCCTTTCAAGCAGCAAGGAAGTGGAACTGTAATGCGAGATGAGATGACAATATCCCGCAGTAAATTGGTACATTTAGGGGGAAAAAATATTTTACAAAATCAACTTTTGACGGTGATAACCCCAGTAAGGAAATACTTCAACTAAATTTTAGCAAGGACAAACCTATTTGCATAGAGGT